CCACCGAGCACGCCAACATCACAGAACTCTCAGACGTCGTTCTCCCCGTCGACGACGCCGGCGCCGCAGACGTATCCGACAGCGAATCTCCCTAACATGCCGAACGTTGCGTTCGCACCGAACCAATCACCACAGAATCCTTACCCAAACGCCACGGGACAGAACTTGGCAGCTTACGCGAGTAACCAGTACCAGTACACGAGCAGACCGTGGTTCAGGCCGCGGTACGGGTCCCCACAAGGGTCCCCCTACAGTGCGGGTACAGGGCCGCCCCCTAACGGGCCGCCCATGCCCGTCCCCCCTCCCTCGGGAAGTTATAATTATTGGCCGGACAGCTGAGACTTGGAAAGTATTATTGGGACTGAATTTGACCAGTGATAACTATAGAATAATTTGTAATAAGAGAGACTGCTTTATAATATACATTTATAAAATGTAAAGAAATATTTTAGAATTTAGACAAATAATGAGTATTTCCTATATTTTTTCGTTTTATTGTAAGGAAAGTGTTGTCTTAACTTAAATAATTCCCTTTGTATACCAGTGTAATATCAATAGCAGTGGTTTGAATGTGATTGTTAACGTTGAACAATACCATATTATAAAATGAGGCTTTCACATAAGTAGTTTTAGCACTTTTGCTGTCTTGCGGAAGTTCACAAAATAGCGTACAGTTCGATGATAGAAAAAAAACATGTAAGATATAGACTCGAACTGTTCGCTCACAAACTAGATCACAATATGGACGAATATCTGCACGACAGGAAAAGGCCACTATATTCAGACTTTTAATTCGATTCAGTAAAATTGAACTTTCAGCGTGGCAACGCAATGATGCCTAACAAAATTAATCATCGAATGTATAATAAAGTCTATTCGAACCGATATTTACAAGTATATTCTTTTTTTGTAAAATGATATATGAATTGATTAAAAATCGTTCATTTTTATTTCGATTAATCGAATCCATCACTATTATGCGGTATCTTTATGATTAGACAATAACTTACCTTGTATAATTTTACTGAATAGTGTTGAAAGTCGTGAACTATAATTGTATCCAATAACACAGTGATTATAATATATTTTTCGAGAGCACAAGATATCTTCACTACGATCTACATAATTAATTCTACATTCATAAAACCTCGATTTGTAATGTGCACTGATGAGGCATAAGGTCCTTTTCGTCCAATCACAAGGTAGATGTAAATAATTGACTGATAGTTTGCTTGATATTAAAAAAAATGAGACCTTACGCCACACTAGCGCCACACAAGTAGATATTGTCAAATACAATTTTTAATATCAAAAAGTTTCCAGTACGAAACCTGACATTTGTTTTTAATTTTACACCAAGTCATTGTCCTTGATAATTTGGCATTCTTTGAAAGACGATATCATAGAAATTGTCGAAAATCTTTTTCGAAAATGAATACTGAGAATCGCTATCCTGTGACTGCGTCTCTGTTTATGTTGAAAGAAATAAAGCATAGACAGGAGCAGGTGAATCGTGGGTACCAACTCCTGAAGAGGAAGGCTGAAGCTCTTCGTATCAGGGGTAGACAGGCGGCCTCAGAATTGGCATCGACGCAGGCCATTCTAGGCCATATCTTGAGAGAAGCTTACATATCTTTGGCTGCTATAAAGTTTACTAATGGCGAGTCCAATGCATTGGTGCTTGAGAATATTGGTCAAGTAAGATAATACTTTTAAAAATATATATTTTGTAGACTATCGTTCAGTTAGTGAACGCAAGAAATGTTATGAATTTTTTTTATGGACGGATATTTCAAGGATCGACATTTCAATTTTGCCCAAAACTAATTCATGGTC